CTAGCATGATATCATAATCAGCCTCGTTAGCAATCTCCTCCCAATGGATATCTAGTCCAGGCGCAGATGCTCGTCGTTGCCACAATGTCGTAACGATTTCGCCCAATGATTGGATGTTCTTGATTCCGTGACGGCGTTTCCGATCGAATAAAACAAGCATCCTCTCTTGTAGATCCGGTCGGCTGCATTCTGCCGCGACCACAAAGCTTGCCCAATTGTAGGCACATCCGCCTTTTCTGTGGGTGAGGGCCTCGGCGGCTTCAAGGTCGTGGACGGCTTTCTCCACGAGGTCTTGAACGTCTGCCACGGGGACACGGCGAAGAGAACGGCGAAAGTAAATAAGGGTTGCGTAATAAAAGGAGTTCAGCGCATGCTGGATGACAATCGACTCAGGTGTTTCCTGTGAATGCAGGCTGGGAAATTGGAGATAAAGCTGCAGCTCCAGATTGTCCAGTTCCGCAACTGTGGTCTGACCAGGCGACTTCCTGAGGGCAGATATGTCCGCTAGAAATTGTACGAGTGACTGTGAAACACCATGCGATCGCTCTAGATAGTTCTGTATGTTCGGAAGCTCTTTCAGCAACGCCACTAACTGAGCCGACATTCGGAAATTACACAGTGATGAGAGAGACAAGTAGCTCTGGAGTAAGCGTGCTGCTGTTGGTGACTGCAGCCACTCGCCATCAAGCTCATTTTCCAGCATTCCCAGTCCGCCAAGAACATGAGCCCTCCATCGGCTGCGCCGGCCAGACATGGCTTCCGCCGCGATACACGTTAGCACAGCAACAAGTGTTGTCTCGTCTAGTCGGCTTCCAGGACGAAGGTTCAGGCGCAGATGTTGTAGAGCCTGCTGATCATGCTGAACCGCAAGAGACTGGTACCTGGATTCGCCGCGAAGGTGATAAAGACTAAATGCGGAAGCTGCACAGAGCCCATGGAAGACAGCACGGTGCATGTTAGACTCTGTTGGGGAAGAGTTAAGTCCCTTGAGGGCCAGTGGCATGAAAACCGTGCGACACGGATTGTCAGCTAAGTCGATCAGGATTAGGTTTCCGCTGAGGAAAACGACCCAATGATGGATCAATTCGATTTCAGGGGTAGCCATATTCGTAGGATTTAGCGAGGATGGAATGCGGGTCTTTTCTAATAAGCACCCCCAGGCCTTGTCGCGTGTGGCTGCTGCGCAGATATCAAAGGATCGCATACGTTCCATCTGTAATAGGTTTGGTGTTGTTTGGCCAATCCCACCGAGAGCATCTTCGCTCACAACGCATTTCGGAGGCTCCGGAAAGGGTAACTGTTGCACCATCAACGATGCCTTTGGAGATGATGATGGGGAGAGATCGTGTTGATGTGGGAGAAAGCTGTCGGAGCTCTCCGTGGATGACTCGCGAGGACTGCGGACCCGTATATTTTGACTCGAGTCTTCCGACACAGAGACAGAAAAGACCGAAAACGGCCCTCGCTGAGCGATCGCTCTTCCCGAAGAATGGTCCAAGTCACTCAAAATCGTTGTTACAGCACATGGGGATAACTCCGGCACAGCCCTAGTTGAAGAGCGCAGTAGTCGACGCTGCGTTGTAGTTCCCGAGGCATTGGTCCATCCCAACCGCACACTGTACCCTTGGCATGTCCGTCCACTGCGATGACACCGTTGACAATTTGGTCGCTGCTCGTCGCACTTTACACGGCGAGATCGGCATGTCCAGCATCCTGTGAAGGTCTTAGAACGTGGTTTAGGGGTCATGGTGGTCGCACCTTCGTGATAAATGCGGAATTTCTTCAGGGATCATGGCGGTAATTATAATTTATAAATAGTCAAGAGTCCTGTGGGTCTTCTTTTCCCCCACACTCTTGGCAGGGGACCAATCTGGAAAGTTGAGGAGAGAGAAGAGGCAAAAAAAAATAATAAGAGAAAAAAAAGCTAGATGCAGTAAATAGAAAATTTCATTCCAGTGGCGAACTGTATATCATGAGATCACACTTTATACAATCATAAACCAAATCTACTCGCTATGCTCATGCCATAAAAAAATCCATGCAGTACCAGGCCTATATACGCGCAGATTTCTTCTTGATACGTGCATTTACTGTTGCTTCTTCGGTTCCGGCTTAACCGCCAATGCACGAATAATGGATGTACCGACATACGCCGATTCCTTCCACCCTTTCTGACGCATCCAGAAACGTTCCGCGGGGTCGGTGCCATGTCGAGACCATGTGCGAGCATCATCCTCGAGTGAGGCCCGCGTGATCTCAGAAACCTCCTGAGATTGGTCCACATACGGCGTGGTTTCTTCATCGGTTTCATCATCACTGCTCCTAGATTGCAGAGTCGACTCGAGGAATCGTTTCCGCAGCAAATAGCGCTCTGCCCGTTCCTGACGTACATTGGGGGGTTCCATCTTGGCGATAGTGGCTCGCACGGCGTAGCGCACTAGCAGGTAAATGTGCTCGCAGAAAAATATCGTGAGCAACAGTGCCCATCCCTTGATGGATGTTGGTTGTCCGTTCGGTCCTTCGTTGCCGTTGCTGAACATGTAGACAAGAGCCGCGCTTGTAATACTTCCGACCCAGGACAGGAACCCTAGACTATCCAGCCAAGGGCCAATGGTATCTGCACGTTGAGGTGATGGCCGTTTGCATTCCATACAGATTTTGAAAAAGTCGGACCGCAGTTCAACCCAATTGTTGACCAAGAACGAGACCGGTACCAATGGCCAGACAGGAGAAAACAGTGCCAGGTATCCAAATTGAATGCACATCTCCCGGAGATCATCGGTCACGTCATAGTCTTCCATCTCAGCTTCGTTACGTACCCGCTTGAGGAACTGGGCTTCCTCTGGGGCATCCTCAAACGAAACCTCGGGCGCCTTTTTCTCATCCATGTTGCCATCCGGCTCCACTTTTCCGGTGCGCTTCTTGTATTCCTTGTATTTCTGGAGGCCGCGCTGCTTCAGCATCGGAACTATCGTTTCCTGAGCGAAATTAACGGCCTGAGCGGTCACTGTGAAGTAGATGACCTGCTTCTTTAGACGACCCGGGTCGATGCTGAATTCGGCACGTGATGTTATCGCATCTTTTTTCGAAACGAAGGGACGAACAGTCAAGTGAAAGATATCGAGATACGGCACGATACTATGAGCGAAGGGGACATACACAAACGCTGTCAGGAAAACAGGTAAGTATGAGGTGATGAAATTGATCACAAAAATCTTTTGCGTCAATGCTACATCGTACGCGCCCTGGGTCTCATAGTTCTCGTAATCATTCAGCCTAGTCGCAACTGACACAAGGACGGTACTCATAGTTGGAATTAAAGCAGAGAGCAAGATGGTAGGTATGAAGACCTGGCAAGTCAGTCAGCGGTACATCAACAATCAATGCATAGGGCTCACCAAGTATGTCTTCAACGGTCCATTGTATATCTCGGAGATGAATATCTCAATGGCGAAACATGTCGCAATGATTACACCCAAGGCAACGGTAGCAACAAGTGCAAATGGCACCTGGAGCAGCTGTGTCTGCAACCGCTTCGTTGCGGGATAGACACCTTGAATTTCGCCCGTTGTCTCATCCCGGACTTCCCTTTCAGGTTTGAATTCACGTCTTTTCTCGCGCAAAACTGAGACACCCTTAGACTGCCATCGGCAGCTGAGATCCTCTTCCTGGTGCTTCCAGTATTCGATGAAAACAATACACCACAGGGCATTCCCTACAGTGTAAATTACCGAAAAAGACCCCAACAATAGCCAGCATGAGAAGCCAAAAATGGCGGGAAACATGAGAAACCTGAAATACGACTGCAGGAACGCGAAGTAGAAGCCAACCTGCGAGAGTTATGTCAGCATAAACGTGAATGTAGGGAAGCACTGCCGCATACACTTTCTCCGAAGGTGTTCCGTATCTGGTCGAGGTCTTCGTTGGACAAAAATGTCTTCTTGCTCCAATCTCTCATGCATTGCTTATTGGTCTCTTCGTCATGCAGCGGGAAGATGGCAATCACGTTCTCCCACTCCCCATGTTTCAGGGTAATTCCAGCGCCACCAGCTTCCCGGGGCACAGTTATCATATGGTGGATGACACGCAAGCGCTCGGATTCCGATTGCGGCTCGGCAGAGGACTCGGGCTCGGTATTGCGGACGCCATAAAGCCAGTCGCGGATACTTTAATGTAAGATCCGGTCAGAATGGGACATACATCACGGAAGGAAACGGCGCGTAATATCCATACCGTGACTGATAAACAGCGCGTTGCAACTTCTTTTTCCTCGAGGCCCGGACAAAGACCAGCACCGACGATTCATCGCCCTCTCTAACTTCCGTCTGCAATCCTACCTCAGAGAGTCGGCGAAGCAGCAATTCAAACTGCTGGGACGCTTTATTGACATCTGGGATGGTCAATCTCGCTGTCTCCGGCGGAGCGCGGCGAACATACCCGTATCATAAAAGCTGTAGCGGATGACGTAGTCCACATGGTTGTTGTGAGGCACCTCCTTTTGATGGGGTTGAGAAGCCATTGAGGATAGATTCTATATCACTACCGTGACATCAGGCGAAGGCGCGCTTGATCTGACCGTCCGGAGAACAATTCCTTCGGAGAAATCGCTTGGAGCGAGAAGGGGGTTCTTAAGAGGTTCGCGAAACAGCTGGGGCCGCGATGACGACGTCACGGCCAAAGCTTGTCGTAGGGTTAACCCTCGGGTTGTGTGGCTGAGTCCAGATTAAGTGCGAGATCGGCGATTGGGTGCTGCACAGCCACTCCATCGATCGAGCCCTACCTTGTTTGGTGGCAGCAATTCAAGATTTAAAAAATGAAATCAGCGACGGGCATAGTTGAATCGCTGTGTACATTTCATGCATGTCCAAATTGCCATGCATGATCTCACTGTGCATCGTGGTGATTCCAATCTGCGACCTAGGTATACCAAGACAGCACAGGTCATGGCTAATATATTTTTGGGTTGTAATTATTAAAGGTATATGCGATTACATAACGTCGCCCGGATGGTCTAGTGGTATGATTCTCGCTTGTAAGTTTACCATTTAAAAATATTCACTCAGTGCATCTGATACTAATAAATTCCTCCAGTGGGCTCATAGTTCCAATCTGCGAGAGGCCCCGCGTTCGAATCGCGGTTCGGGCCACTTTTTTTTGGCCACTCATTCTACCAGCAGTGAGTGGGTCAAGCGGTGTCATTTTCTTGATGGAACAAATAGGGACTGAGGCATTTTCACTGCAAGTTCCTTTTTAAAGTAATCCCGATATAAGAATCCCTCCGTATAATGATTTGCCATGTGCACTATGCAGAATTGGCGATTTTGCGTTACATGGTTTTGCATGACATCTTACTGTGGTAACCTCATCCGTAGCCCATCAACATGGAACCCAATGGTATGTACAGTAGTTGTAGAACAGCAATCACTCAGCCCAGTGTATCCACCTCTTGTTTTAATCTACTACCTGCAGGGCTAGGAACCTCAAGATGATATGCGGACTACTCGGGTGTGATTATTTGTGCCAACACTTGATATATCTCCTCCACCGTAATAGCGGATATAAATATACCTCGAGTACATTACAGTTTCACGATTTCACATCCTGGAAACTTGGAATAGGAAAAATGCTTAAATGTACTGCACAAAGACTTCTAGTCGTAGAGTGATATTTAATACGATTTATAGACCGAATTCAACATAAGCGGCCTTATTGTTATAGGTTCATCTGAAGGCGTGCTCCTTTGATCGCCGAGTGATGAGTTCACAACCATTTACAAAGGCCATTATTGAGCTTGACAAAATTTCACTTCACCAAAGCCCGGATGGTCTAGTGGTATGATTCTCGCTTGTAAGTTGGCCTTATCAATGCTGTATCACTATTATTCGATACTAACAAATAATTACAGTGGGCTCATAGTTCCAATCTGCGAGAGGTCCCGCGTTCAAACCGCGGTTCGGGCCTATTCTTTTTCTTTTTTCCCTCTTCCTTCCATTCTCCCTCTCTACCCCGTAGTTTATTCATTATATCAGTTTCCGTGCTCCGCCATCCTTTGTTATTTGTATTAGTTAGTATCGTGCGCTATTTGCTCGTCTTACCCTTCCCTATATTTGTTACTTGGCACTGTAACTTAACCTAGGAATAGAACTGAGGATAGGCAGAAACAGTATGACGCTAGTGGACAGTAACTGTACCTAGCGGTAAGCTCTTAGAGATTTATATAGAAGAAACTAAGATGCAAAGCGAAATATCGCTCGGTGGGGGCCAAACAAGAGGACCCATACCATGATGCACCCGAGATAAATTGTAGTACCCGAGGGTTGAAAAAGCGTCTAAGGACCCAGGTGTCATTCAAACCGTAGAGAGCTTGGTCTGGAGTTCTTTTCCATAGTTTGGTCCTATCATACCCAGTGCGAAGGTAGTAGAGCCTCCAGACCTGGTCTGCAGTATAGTGGGCCTTTCCCCATAGGGTCGGTCCCAATGGAATGGTCCTGTTCTATTAATCCAGTAGGATGTGTCACTACTAACATTATTCAAGAACCCTTATCATGAAGAGCGATGGAGCCCGCGGAGAAGGTGTCGCATTCCTTATCACTGAGCTGATAAGTGGTCTCGATCTGGTTCGCCCCGAGGCACTTAGGGTTTCCTATCTCAACTCTTATCTCTCGATCGGCGGACCCTCTTGCATAAAAATGCCGGCGAATATGCACGGGTCTTCAATAATTTGCATGCAAAAGTGGACCGGCTGTCGTTTCCTAGTGACGGACGCTCGATAAGCACCATTTTAACTTTGTTATGATCATCGATGTTGCAGTCGATCATCGTGGTCTTTCAACTCTCTCATTTGACTCCGGGAAGATGTCTTGATAAGGTTTACAATGCCAGGTTATATCTGGACATCATGTCCTAACCGGCTGGCGTCGCCAAGCGCCATCGTCCTTTTCTTCTTTAAACTTCACTGCATCTGCACTACGAGCTCCTCTGGAGCCGTCATGGTGTAATCCGTCTAGATCTAGTAACCTAAGCAACATGTCGCAAATCAGCCTAGATGCCTTCACACCGGCTGAGGTGATCGAATTCGTCGGTCGTGCTGGAGTTTCCAAAGGCAATATGCGCCTCGAAAAAGTCTTCTTTAGTGCAGTGTCAGCTGGGTGTCTGCTTGCCTTCGCCTGTGGAACTGTCCTCAGCACCAACACAACGCCCTGGTTCCAGGAAAACGCCCCGGGGCTCATCCGTACGATCAGCGCCTTGGTCTTTCCTTACGGCTTGTGTATGATTATCTTAACGGGAGCCGATCTTTGCACCGGATCGTTCATGGTAGGAGCTCTGGCTTTCCCTGCATGTAAAAAAAGTCGTTAAATGATTACCAGTTCACCACCGTCGCTGCCCTCCAACGCCGGTTGCCGTGGTATAAAATGTTAATACATTGGATTGTCACATTCTTTGGTAACCTGGCTGGGTCGCTCTTCGTCGTTGCCATCATATTCGGGTGTAAGTACAATCGCCTCAACGTCTCCATAATCCCTGAGAAGGAGCAGCACCACTGACACAGAAGTAGATGGCAACGTTTTCTCGGCAGATCCTTTCAAGTCTCAAGTGATCGCATTCGCCACAAAAAAGCAAGTCACCCCCGATTTCCATATGATCTTCCTTCGCGGCATCGGATGCAACTGGCTCGTCTGCCTCGCTTGCTTTTTCGGCATCCAGGGCCGTGACCTCACCTCCAAAATCATCGGCATCTGGTGGCCCATCTTCGCGTTCGTGTCTCTCGGGTTTGATCACGTCGTGGCCAACATGACTTTTATCCCACTGGCTATCTGGATCGGGTCTCCCAAAATCACGGTTGGTCTGTACATCTGGAAAGGAATCATTCCAACTTTGATCGGCAATATCTTGGGTGGAGGTTTATTTTGCGGTGAGTAAATCTGCCTGTTCCAGGATTGAAAAACTCGTTCTAACGAGGGCCAGGCGTTTACTACTGGTACATGTACTTGCTTCAAACCGACTCGATGACGGTCACTGGGATCAAGCGTTTCGGCCACTCCAGGTCTGAAGTGAGCAGCATGACCCCAAAGAAGGACGACGTGGAAGCTGGTGTCGGAGTGGTGGATAACTCTCCCGCTGCATTGGGTAGTTAATTATACTAATCTAAAGTATCAGTTCGATATAGAGATTAATTAAGGAATAATAATGAGAGACTTGGCTAATATAGAACCTCCTAGGAGATCAAAGAGATCTCCAAATGCCGGTATAATAGGCGACGACTAATAGGAAGTACCTAACTGCATTAATATCTAGACTTCTATATGGGATTGCCACACCACTTTGAAGATGCCTGGTTGTATGTTGCAAATTTCCGCATGGTAGACTCTCATATCTTTTGCATGTTGGTATGAAAAATTCTGATCTTACATACGACCCCTAACCGAAACTAGCTACCTTTCACAAGATGAGCTTCATCATCTGTGTACCAAGTTCCCTTTCCAGGCAGTCTGAGTGGTCTGATAATAAATTCATCGTGTGCGTTGATATGTCTTCGCGGCCGCATGCCTATCATCTCGATGGACTCCCCGGATAACCAATCCACAAACGTATTCGCTTTTCGAGCAGACCCTTCCCCAATTGCGCGGAGAAAGACTGAGCCACTAGAGAGCGTAGCAAGGAATGCAAGCTTTGCTCCTGGGTCATTATCCCGAGCGTCCATAGCCCAGTTCTCAGGATGCCGCTTCCCAGAATGAATGACTGCCTGTATCAGAATTCTAGCAGGGAGTTCGTCTCGTGATTTTGCATGAATCTCCAAGCTTATGGTTGCTATTTCGGGACCAGCTCGTATCGCAACTAGCTTCTTCTCCTTATGCCAGTACCCAGCGTACATCTTTCCCTCTAGAATCGTTTTGTCTCGGGTTTTCTGGTATATATTTCGATCGGTGTACGCTTTCGTGAAAGAGACTGCCGAATTGATCACTAGGCTACCTGGGCCAGACTCCTTAGCCACAAGATGCTGCTCCATATCCTCCGTTTTTGATACGGGAAGAATATCGCTGAGGATATCACCAGCTTCTATATCACTCATCTCTAGCTCAAGAATCTCTTGCTCTTCTTGTGTATCACATTGGGTGATCATTTCTTGTTGTTTCTTATGCACCAAGGCCAATGTGTCATGTAGCTCTACTTTATCAGCAGAGCCTATAGACTCACAGATTGCTTCGATAAGCGGGATGGCAGCAAATGGTTTCTGTTCGCAACCAGAATCTAAAGGTGCCCCCGGTCGTAGTAGGGTGTAAATTCGGTCCATTTCATCGAGTTCGTGCTTGGATAATACACCTCTTCTATGCACTTCCTGCCTACCGCTCTTTTCAAGAGCATCAGACCGGGATTGGCTTTGACTCTGCTGGTTCGAAGGCTGAGCTTTACGTCTTAATGTGAAGAGCAGCAACATTAGACCGCGCGCCAAGGTGCCGCCGATATCTTCCAATTGACGGATATCATCAGCACATCGAAATCCCTTTCTGAAAAGAAAGGCTTCAATAATGGGCTCAATATTGGAAGAATTCATTTTTTCTGAACCATTGTTCTCTTCATGATATATTCGCAGGATATGATGGACTGCTGAGGCGGAATTGCAGAAATAAGGCCGTATTCCTTGAGTTCCAGTCAACACTGCTGCAAGCTTGAATGCTTCCATGAGAAGCTGCACTCTAGGCCCTGGGTCAGCCCATAACGTGGTTAGGGAGGTAGGGGCTTTCAGATAGACTCGTCGAATCTCGTTCCCTTCTGCCTCGAAGAACCCGGAAAGCTTTCCGCAGTACAGCGCAATTTCAAAGCGGCTGGAAGTCATTTGCGCAGGAATAATCAATTTCTCTGTGTCGACTCCTTCATAGATTATGACGGTTAAGTTACTGTTCTTTATCACCTCTCTGTTATAATTCAAGAAGCACGCTTCCAATGCTAACCGACAACTATGGGTTTGTGAAGCTTGCGAGAAGCTGCGCAAGCGAGGATCCGCAAACCATATATTACAGTTCGTCTCATTGAAGCCACTTTCGTGAATACCCCATGGTATATCTGTCTCATCAAGGCCAAAGCCCATCGGGCATCCAGGCAGGATAATCCCTAGTCGTGCTTCTGGACTACCAAGAGGATAACCCAGATGGATTTGCTCCCCTGTGGCTTTCAGAACAGCCTCAGCAAGCTTTGATTGGATAGGCTTCAAGTCGATTGTGACATAGCTCAGGGAGCGGCGACCATTGAATTGGTAGTCGACCTGATAAGGCCTCTCAGCTGCCATCATGGCACGGTCGAAAAGCCCTTGGTAATCTTTCCATTTCGTTAGGAACTGGTCACCATGCCATCTACTAACAGTTTCGTCCACCTTTTTAGTCTTTTCTCTAAAGCTCGGCCACATCCTAATATGAGGATCAGGAGACAGTCCAAGCTTGATGTTGAGGATCTGTCGAATATGGGATCTCAGACTAATGCCTTGCAATAACGGTTCGATAACATTCAAGCCAAGACCGGAATACGAGATTCCTTGTAGGCGACCGAAATACTTTTCGAGGATATTAGGGGGTAAGGACTGGAAAGCAAATGCGAAGGCCATCTCAAGGATGTTCGAAAATACACTCTTCGTTTCCTGGTCAAAGCTCTGGTGATCTGTCAAAGACCAGAGCCGGATAAAGTTCATCGCCCTCATTCCATTACCTTTATGGATCACGAAGTAGTGTAGTGAATCTGGTATAGTTCTCGCGGACCCTTTAATATGTTCCTTGATACGTTTCTCAACATTTGATGACTGACCAACATAAGGTCGCCAATATCGCATGTCTCGATCATCGGTGACATAGTCGAGATACCCGCTGTTTCTTGGCCAAGTTTCAAGGTATTTTGACTGCTTAACCCTGATATCGTCTAGTCTTCATTTTGTTAGCTTACTTCTATGATATTAAATATCAATCACCATACA